CAGAACAAGTGTCCGAGAATTCATCCTCCGAGGACATTCCTTCTTGCATTCTTTTGTAATCTCTGCGTCTGATGGCTCCTAATTGGAGTCGAGACATCCTTTGAGCAATTCTTGGATTGACCTTTCCTCTCGGGGAAAAGTCGGGATTTGAGTCATTTGAATGCCGCTTAGATTTTCTTTTATCAGCCACGTTGATAGTGACTTCAGGGAATTCATCATCTTGGGCAGCTGATTTTCTTTTGCGGAAATGTCTCGGTTTAGGCTTAGACAATACAGAGACTCTTCGTGGGATGGCTTCTCGTTTGAAATAGTCACATTCTGATAATGCTGCTTTAACGAGTCGCGCACAGGAACAATGAGAGTTTATTTCTCGAATAACTCACTTTCGAAAATTATTCACAACCCCAACTTGATAATACGATTCATCGGTATGATTGCCAAAAAATCGTATCGTCTGTTGGCATGACCTCCCAGGTATGACGATATCATTTGGTGAATGCGTCTTCTTCTGGGGGTGTAAAACCTTGTTGGCATTCTCACGACAATTTATTTTTGTCCTTGAGCGATCCAAGGTTATGTCGGGAGTCGCACGTTTAGAACCACCCCCTTGTGGGTATGGAGTCTTAACGGGCTCCGAATGCTGATTTTGCACAACTCCAGTTTTTGGAATCCAAACTTGGCAGAATTTCGGCGGTTCTTTGGTCATCGTTTCCTTCTCCCTTTCTCGTCTTTGTTGTGAGAGAGCACGGGCAAGAGCTGCGTTTGCACGACTGGAATCCAAACTTGACGAAGTTTTGGTGATTCTTTGGTCACCATTTCCTTTCTCTTTTCTCGTCTTTGTTGTGAGAGAGCATGGGCATTAGCAGCTTTTGCACGACGTTTTTGTATACGTTCTTTGAGGGTCGAACGAGTCTTTTTGACAATAGTCCATTCCTCCATCGTGAGTTTAGCAGAGACATGAGTGATTGGTCGTTGAGACAACTGAACCACTCGATGTCTCCTCGACTCTAGGTCCGCGTGATAACGAACCCCGTCGGTTTGTTCCAAGGCCTTAGCTATTTGACGAGCGCGGCGCTGACGTTGTCTCTGACGAGCCCTCTTCGTCAGTGCTGGTGGGCTTTGATTCGATGACTCTTTAACTAGATAAGAGTCATTGTGAGTAGAGGTGTTGCGCGTAAAATCCTTAGCAACAATCAGGCGAGAGTCTTCATTTTGTGCCTTCTTTGGCATGTAGGTCTTCCTTAATTGTGAGATCCTCTTGTATTTACGAGACAATGAAGATCTTGAAGAGGATGATGAGAGATATTCCTCAAATTTGGTTTGGTCGAATTCGTATTCGACGGTGGATTCAACTGGAATCTTGATCGGCTGCGACACGACGGTCTCGGCAGCGAGACCGTTAGCTCCCACTGTTGATCGGCTGCGACACGACGGTCTCGGCAGCGAGACCGTTAGCTCCCACTGTGGTCGCCAGTTTGTTTGCGTCAAAAGTTGGTTTTGTTATAGAATTCATTATATCTTCGGTCGATTACAACAAATTCAAAAGAGATAGTCTTTTTATAAGACTTCTTTTACACAACAAAAGGAAAATTACAACTTTTTAGAAACAAACGCAGGATCGTTGTTTGGATCGCTGCTTGCGTGGGATCTTTGCCTGTGCCGGGAGCGCTTTGACTCGTGGACCACCAAATCACAGATTCTGATTGAACCGTGAGGGGTTTAATGATTCTTCCTTCGTTTATCGAAGTAAGAATTTGAAGCGAATATCTTATCGATGTAAGATGTTCACTCTTCCAAAGATCAAGTCTGAGCTTAGATCTCTAGGACTCGCTAGAAGCTTCTTGAGGATGTTTGTGAAGAAGGAAGACTCTCTCTCTTGCTCTAATTCACCAAAACTCAAGGCTCTCTGCTCTAATCTCTCTGGAAAATGCTCAGCCCCTGTCAATGATGGCCATAGGGGGGTATCTTTTTTCGTGGTTTAACTGCTTGTCCACGTCAGCACACGTTCTATTTCTGATATGCTGCCACGTAGGCCTCAAAAAATCATCATATAACTGCCTTGTAACCGCCACAGCACTCCTTTAACATAGCCGCGGCACCCTAGGTTGCAGCGCCTAAGCCGCGACACAACAAGCTGCCGCGCCTTAGCCGCGGCACTATGTGCTGTCGCGCCTTAGCCGCGACGCCATGGGCTGTCGCGCCACCTTGTGTTGCCTGATGACGTGTAAATTGTTCTCCCATATTGTTTTGAGTGGTATTTGGATGCCTGCAAGTATTTTTCGACACCTACACACACAGGATGCTATTAACTGCGTTCACAGTGCAAATAAAAGAATTAGCTCCATGTTCCTTTTGTCTTTGACATCAAATGATAATAACACAACAAGAGTTATCAAGATATAACAGGAAAGATAATGCTTTTCATGTATAAAGAGTTAAAACATGAACACCAGATGCACACAAGTGGAAAAATAATGCAGTTTAGACTCCTCATTCAAATTGATAACTATAATTTTCTTTGTTCCTTTTATAATATCAACTGGACAAACCGAGGGTATGAACAAATAAACTGATAAAACCTATATTTTATAAGAGCCACACAGGGATTTTGACAGCAGATACATATTCAGTTCAGTTCCTCTACGATCAATTGCTTCAAGCCGTCATACAAAAGCAAACCAAATCACTATAGTCAACTTGAAGTATGATATCTTTTAGTGTCAGGTTCATGTATGCAAGGCTGTTTTATGTTAACAGTGACACTTAAGTTAAACAAACAAGAATGATTAAAAAAATACTCGAACTCTCATAATAATCGCCTCTCGAATCCCAGCATCAATATTGTCCTAACCACAATTGCGAACCGGTGCAGATGATCGGATCTCCTTCCCAATCTCATTCGCGAGGGATGTCGCATGCTCCCCCTCCGGTGCTCCACTCGAGGAAGGGATCGGAACTGAAATCGCATGACCCAATTGTCTCACCAATCTCTCTTTCCCCTTCCCTCGTGTTGCACCGCGTACATTTCTACGGGCCGATGGTACCGATCCTACCAAAAATACAAAGTTAAATTGAATTAAATTTTATATCTAATATAAAGGAAAGGTGAATCTGATATGTAAATAATATTATTACCTACGCTACTCCCGATAGTTTGAGGGCTTTCTAGTTGGTCGGGCTAGGCAATGGATGATGGCTCGAGGTGGGGAGGCTCGCTACGGATACACTGGGGTGGCTGGTTCGAGGCAACCAAGATCCTCCTCTCGGGCACAGAATTCGATGGTATGACATTTTTGGACTTGCGTCCTGGAGCCATACGTGTTACCTGTTATAATGGAGTAAAATGAATTGTTAGTACACATAATGAAAAGAAATTAATAACAAATAATAATATGTAATGACAAGAACAAGTAATTACAAGTAACAATTAATGACAATACACAAATAGATATTACCTCTTCTAAATCATCATTGTCATCTTCACTCGATGAGCTAAGCAATTTATCATCCATAAACGGTTGGTAATCATCATCATCCTCACAAACCTTTTTTTTTTTTTTGCCTTTACTTTTCCTCTCATGTATTGGCAACATCCTGGAAATTGTTTGTGAAAGTGGTGGTATTCCCAAAACTCTCATTCTCTCTATATTCTCATCTATTGTTTTCCTCCTCCTTGCCTCATATACTTCTGCCATTTTTCGTGTGGACCCCGGTTTGACCCATAATTTTTTACCACTGTGCATATTTGATAACTATGAAAAAAAATACATGTTAGAAAATATAAATTACGTCAGGTTGTAACATTAAACTTTTATACAAAATGATAGAATGTAATTATGTTGCTTTCAAACAATATTAAGGTTGTAACATTAAACTTTTATACAAAATGATAGAATGTAATTATGTTGCTTTCAAACAATATTATTTCTTGATATTTGTTCATTTACTTATACAAAATGATAGAATGTAATTATGTTGCTTTCAAACAATATTATTTCTTGATATTTGTTCATTTACAAAACAAAAACATATACTACACATCATAATCCATATCAGGGTCTATATCTAAGTCAGACTGATTATGCAGATTATCTTCTTCATCATTGTCATACTCTTCCATTGTCTGATTATTGTCAACTCCATACTCCGTATTTAGGTCAGCATTGGGAATGATAACGGGACCAATATCATCCCTATAATAAGGATAATTTGTAGTAGGCTCGACGAGAATTGGAACAGCGACAGTGGTTTCAACTTGTTGAAATGCATCGTTAAGCATATCATCATTGATTTGTTCCGGTACATCCCACACACTCCTGTGCTGGACCCGTTCTACGACTTTCCAATGAGCACCCAATTTGGTATCATCAATGTAAAATACTTGCTCACATGCTCGGTAGCACAAATGGATCGTTTTGATACCAACGACCCCTAACATCGATACTTGTGATATGTGCATCTTTATGTATTCTATTTTTACCGCCAGTGTTGTACCACTCACATTGGAACAGAACAACCTTACCCCCATGCAAATATTTCAGCTCCCAGACTTTGCATAAGTAACCGTAAAAGTCAATTAATTTTCCATCGTGATCCCCTTCCACAACCAAACCACTATTTTAACTCTTACGACGGTTGTCACGATCTTTAGTGTGGAACCGAACGCCATTACAAATGCACCCTTCATAGAGATGAACTAAGATATCTGGACCATTTGCTAATGACCATAATTCAGTAGTTGCCCTTGGTGACCCGATAGTTCGCAAATGATTTATCTACATAAACATGTTACAAGTGCATTAGGTATTCAATAATGTTAATTTAATTTTAATTTATAAAATGACTTGTGCGTATTTCATGTAACTTACATGTTGTTTGAACCATTTTGAAAATTCTTTTCGTTGTATCTGAGTAATGTCATGTCCTCTAGAATTTTGGATCGTAGCCTTGTGTTCCCTACATCATGAGGTGTCAATCAATTGGTTAGTAAAACTATACAACTATTTCAAACTTAAAAAACTTAATACGTACTCTAGAAACGGCTCTAATTCGGGGCTATTATACAACACAAACCACTGTGCCATATCCAGATCTTTCTGAGACACATCTGGAGCTCTTGTGATTGGTCCGAAGGGACGAGCACTTTGTGTGAAAACCGACAATCCAGGACCAAGTATACCACAATCAACATTTCGTTCTTCTCGAACAACACCTTTCAGATACATTGAACAAAAAGTAAGACACTCTTTAGTAATGTAAGCCTCTACAATTGAACCTTCTAGCCTAGCTCGATTGGTAACGTACCCCTTTAGTGTTCCAAGAAACCTTCAAAGGAACCATAAAATAGAATAAGATTTATATGTAATACAGTTGCACAAATACGAAACTAATTACTTATGTGGTCCTATAATATCTACCTTTCGATCAGATACATCCACCGATATTGCACAGGGCCAGCAAGCATGGCTTCACGTGGCAAGTGAACAGCTAAATGGACCATCACATCGAAAAAGGCCGGTGGAAAAATCCTCTCTAGTTTACAAAGTATGAGGACAATGCGTTCCTCTAACTTTTCTAAGTCACTGTGTCTCAATGTTTTAGAACAAAGGTCCTGAAAGAAGCTTCCCAACTCAAAAAGTGTTGTACTAATTTCCTTGTTAACATATCCGTGCATCCCAATTGGCAGAAGACGTTGTAGAAGGACATGATAATCATGGCTCTTCAGACCCGTCAATTTGCCGCCTCTAGTGCTCACGCACCTTGACAGATTTGCTGCATACCCATCAGGATACTTAATCGATGCCAAGAATGCACAAAAACCCTCTCTCTCTTCTGGGGATAGTGTGTAGGCTGCAATAGGCTTGCGAATGGATCCATCTGAATGTTTCTCTAAATGTAATTTTGACCTTATATTCATATCTTCCGAATCAAGGCGAGCTTTATTCGTGTCCTTATTCTTCCCGTCTATACCCAACATTGTCCCAATGATTGCCTCACATATATTCTTTTCAATGTGCATGGGATCCAAATTGTGCCGCACCTTCAGTTCTTTCCAATACGGTAACTCGAAAAAGATACTTTTCTTTCTCCAATTTATGGCAATGGATTCATAGGGTCTTTTCCTCTTTAAAGGATGCTTTCCAAAATTAACATTTGGTAATTGATCCAACTGCTCAAGTACCTTTTCCACAGGTAAATCCAAAGATTTCATGTGATGTTCAGTCCTACCGTTAAAGTCCTTACTCCTTCTCATAGTGTGATTCCTAGGCAAGTAAACTCGATGACCGAAGTATCCAATCTTGCTCCTCAATCGATGAGATAATGGATCATCATTGCAAGGTGGACAAGCCAAATAGCCTTTTGTGCTCCACCCAGACAAGTTACCATAAGCAGGAAAGTCATTAATGGTCCACAATATAACCGCATGCATCCGGAAGATCTGTTTTTTGGATGCATCATAAGTTACTACCCCATTGTCCCATAACTCCTTCAACTCGTCGACCCAAGGCCTCAAGAAAACATCGATGTCGTTCCCTGGTGCATGTGGTCCAGGAATAAGTAAGGACATCATGAATTGCCTGGGTTTAGGCTTTTGAGCGGCCTTCGGCGCCGGGGCGGTGTCGACTGCCATGATTTCTTTTCCTCTCGACCGAGGAGGATTCTTCGGCACAGCTGGCTCTACTGCTCCCTTTTTGGACTGCGGCTCTTTGGCCTCCAGCCTCTTGATCATATTTTCAACTTGCTCGCCTTGTGGTCCAGGAATAAGTAAGGACATCATGAAAAAAGATTCTTTCATACACAACCAGGGTGGCAAGTTGTATGGCATAAGTATGACTGGCCACATACTATAGGCATTGCTCATGTTCCCAAAAGGATTGAACCCATCACTAGCCAATCCCAGCCTTACATTGCGGATCTCTTGTACAAACTCAGGATGAATAAGATCAAATTCCTTCCACTCCTCAGTGTCAGTCGGATGTCTCACAATCCCGTCATCTACACGTTTATCCCTATACCATCTCATCTCTGTGGCCGTTTTCCTAGACACGTACAGCCTCCGCAACCTCGGAGTTAATGGAAAGTAACGCAACACCTTACGAGGGATCTTCATACCATTTCCACCAATGAACTTGTATCTAGACTCCCCACATTTAGGACACTTTATCAGGTGCGAGTTCTCCTTCCAAAACAGTACACAATCATGTTGGCATGCATCGATATGCTCATATCCCATGCCCAAATCACGCAACAACTTCTTCGTTTCATAAACTGACCCTGGAACCAAATGACCCTCTGGCAATAAGTCCCTAAATATCTGTAAAATCATGTTGAATGACTTATTACTCCATCTATTCTCAACTTTCACATGAAGCATCTTGACAACAAATGCCAACAAAGTGAAGTTTTTGCAACCAGGATACATTTCACGCTGGGAAGATTCCAGTAATTTTTCAAAGTTTCGAACATCATGATCCATCTCTACATCATCATCCATATAAGTTCCTCTGCAATGGTCTTCCATTAATTCTGGATACTCATCTCTGTTATCGTCATCGCTCTCATCCCTGTCATCACCGGAATCACCATGTTGATTATCAGGCAATTCTCCATGGTGCAACCAAATCTTATAGGATACCATAATCCCATATCGAACCAAATGATCTTGCACAATATCAAAGTCACGCCAATCAAGATTCATGCATTTGTTGCACGGACACCGAATCGTGCTACGCCCGCCTGCATTTACTTTTGCAAATTCAATAAAAGCATCAACTCCGGCCCGATATCGCAGACTTAATCTATCCCTAATCAGTGTCATCCAACTCTTATCCATACCTAATTACAATTGGTGTGAAAATAAAATCATATTAATTTATTGTCATAAAATAAAAAGTAGCATCTCAAATGAATATGCAATAACAAATGTGGAAAGTTGAATCAATGTGGAAAGTTCTATCACATGCACATGTCATTTGCCTATACAACCTTTTTCCAGTAGGAATGTTCTTTTTCTTCTACATGGAACAAGGCCACTGCCTATTCAATCTCATCTGAAACTAACCTTTCATTTATAAGACCAACAACAGGAAGTTGAGACAACTTTTTTTGAGGTCATAATATGACGTGGACAAACTGAATGGAGACAATGTACCGTTGTACTTCCTGATTGTCGGGTACAGTTAATATTTAGTACCACTTAAATATCTTACTTTTTTTAATGTGTAAATGATTTTTTGTCTTATCATTTATTAAATTTCGGAACTTGATTGTTTATATTTTTAAGATTTAAGTTTAAAACAAGCTTTACATCATAGTTGTTCAAGATTTACTAAAGACTTAATGGTCAAGCACCAGCATGACTTTTGAAACAAAAAAATGGAAGCTATCATATGAAATGGTTTAAACTTCTGCTTTTACATATGATTTGTTAATTGGAGTAAGAATGTCCTGCCCAATTTGCTCAAACTTTTAGATTCACCTATTCTAAAAAATCTAGACACATAAATATGTTATATGTATTATTATGATTATCATCACTACATATCTGAGAGTTACTTATATATGCAAAACCTTAAATGAGTAGAACAATATAACAATTAGTTCTTCCAAGAAAGGGGCCTTGATATTTGTTTGCTTATTATGTATCTTTGAGGTGAAAACAAGAAATTTTTCAACAGACATCTCATGCATAACAAGGGACCAGCAGACAAATTTTGGTGCTGTCTGCATATCATAGGTTTTACTATTTAGTTGCAGATTTTGCTGGGATTAGAAGCATTAAAAGGCTATAGTTCCACCCATTGTGCTGGATTGTGAAACATATTTATTTCGTTGAGATCAGACATTTTGGCATGATTATCAGATGCAAAAGATTGATTAAAGGACCAGCTACTCTGAAGGCTGTCAAAATTATTAAATGTAACAAGAAAACAATATATTAAAAGTTAGTTCAGCAGATAACATCCATAAAATCTGTTGATATTTATAAGCATATTCGACAGGATATGAACACATACATTTGCAGATTTTTTTCTGTTTACATCCATAATTTTGATATGTCAAAAAAAAATACTTCTATTGATTTGCAGACGTAATAATTACCTTTAAAGAGTATCAGCAAGCAGAACAAACTACTCTCAAGTTCAGTACGAAAAAAAACACACAGTGAACATGAAGAAAAATAAAACAAAAAATTTCTAAAAACAACAGGCATAGAGAACGTAGATGGCTTGCATAATACCTGAAACAATACCTTCCACGGTCCTGGGGGCGATTTTGGGAGGAGGAGGAGGAGGAGGAGGCGGCGAGATCCGACGGAGGCGGCGAGATCCGACGGAGGCGGCGGTGAAGTTCGACGGTGGCGGAGATCTCCGACGATGGCAGCGAACTTTCAGAGAATTTGGGGGCGATTTTGGCTCTTCGTCAAAATAAAAAGGGGGCGATTTGGGCTCTTCGTCGAAATAAAAGGGGGGTGATTTTTGCTCTTCGTCGAAATAAAAGGGGGGATTTTCCCTCTTTTTATTTCGCGGGGAGCGGGATTTGGGGGTAGGGTTTTGGCGACGCGGATAAATAAAATAGCGTCGCTAAAAATATAACTTTTAGCAACGCTAATTATAAACGTCGGGAAAAGAATATTTTTAGCGACATTAGCCTACTACGTCGTGATAAATGCATACTATTAGCGACGCTAATTCTAAAACGTCGCTAAAAACAATATTTTTGCCGACGAAAATAAAAAAACATCGGGAAATCTATAACTTTCACCGACGCTAAGTTAAAACGTCGCTAATAATATACACTTTTAGCGACGTTTATTATAAACGTCGGGAAAAATATATTTTTTGCCGACGCTAACTAAAAGCGTCGGGAAAAACACAATTTTTGGCGACGTATTTAATCATGCGTCGGGAAAAACATAATTTTTGGCGACGTATTTAACCATGCGTCGGGAATAAGCGTCGGGAAAAATGCAATTTGTTGTAGTGCCAAGTGATTGTAACTGGGTGGAAGCGAACACAGCAATAGAAGAGTTTGGTCTTCTTCTTCTAGCTTTACCTCAAGAGCTAACAAATAGCCAATAATCCTATTGAAGATGTTCAAGTATTGCAAAATAGGTGCACCTTCCTACATCCAAAGTTTATAGAGCTGCTTCTTCTTGAAGAGTTTATTTGACAAACTCTTCATCATATACAAGCTTTTTAACTTGCACCACATAGCCGCAGCTGTTCTTTCGTTCATAATGTTGTAGAGCACCTCATCTGACAAGCCTAGGATAATCGTAGCCTTTTCATGAATATCCATGTCTTTCCACTCATCTTCATCCAAAGTGGATGACTTCTTCTCAAAACTGTCTAGGGATCGGTGGACCCATTCCTTCACGAGTAACGTCGTGACGCGCATCTTCCACAAGAGAAAATTTGACTTGCCATCAAATTTCTCCACCTCGAACTTGGTTGTTGTCATCTTGGTCGCCATAGTAGCTCTGATACCAATTGTTGGAGTATGCAAGTCGCGGAAGATAAAACTTAACCAATCAAGAAACTCCAAATCGACCAAGCAATCAAGACAAATAACAAACAACAAGATTTAACATGGTTCCACGTGATCAAGATGATCCATGTACATCAACAGGGAGAAGGGAGAAGATCTTATTTCTTTTGAGAAAAGATTACAAGAGGTTGAAACTACACACCCCTAACAATGATGGAATATAGATCTCTCTTCTTTCTTGTTGTTAAACCTATGAATTGATACAATATAGAGAGATTGATTTTGCTCAATCCTATTAGAACTCTAACTTGAATCCTAATTGGATTTCCCAATTCAATTAATTCCTTCAATCCAATCCTAATTAGAATAGTACAACTAATCCTAATTAGAGTCCAAACTCAATCCTTCTTCTCAACTGATTTGAGTCATCACGAACTCAACAGGGAGAAGATAAAGGATATGCGTTCGGGTTTTTAGTTTGCATGTTTTGGGTTTGAACCCATCAAGTGAAAATGTTTGACTTGAGTGAATATTTCCCTCAAATCCAATAAGAAGAGGGACCAAACTACGAGCACTTTTATGATTGTGGGACAAGGTCAATAATGTTGCACGCCTTTGCGGAAGTGTGCTCGACAACCATACGAGTCTATGAGTCACGGGAAAAGATTAACAAACTAAACACTAGCACAATTCAATTCAAAATACGACAAATTAAACCAAGCACAGAGATATACGTGGTTCGACAATTTGCCTACGTCAACAGGGAGAGGATGGGGAGATTCCACTAAATCAAGAGAGTACAAATGGTTACAATCTCACAAAATTACACAAATAAACCCTAAACTAAATCTCTCAACTTGCTCACAAGTTCTGCATCTCAATATGCTCAGTACAATCTTAAATCTCTGATTAACAAAACCCTAAAATCGTGTTTTAATATTTATCAAAACACAAATCAAATCAAAACAGGAAATAAAGCCCAGGCCCAAACCCGACTGACGGTCGACCACGCCAAAGCTCGTAGTCAACTAGACAGAAGGATAAAATCTTGAAAACCATTATAGGGTTTGGCGGTCGACCCGACCTAACCTTACGGTCGATCGACCAACACTCCAGAAATTACTTTGTACTCGTGCACCTTTGTGGTTGACCGCGCCAAAACTCTTGTTCAACCCACAAGCACCCAAATACCTTTCCGCTTCAAATTTCCTGAACTTTACCAATATTTTCGCCACTTCTATAATTCTCCACCTTTGTGATGTTTTCCAAAAACCAAACCGACACCAATACCAAATGAACGTCCCACTTGTTGTGCCCAGTATGAAGTGGAATAAATCTACAACAACGGACTCAATCCACAACAAGTCGAGAACCCAAACCCGGCTACATCAAAATGACTGCCTGCATATCCCCTCTTCCAAGGGATCAAGCCATCCGTAGTTCATCCAAATAGCCGTCAATGGCTTCAACAAGCACAAATGTGCAACAAGTTTTGACAATGATCAAACTTGTTGTTCGGAACCACCTTTGTGAGCATATCCGTCGGATTATCATTTGTGTTGACCTTCACAATCTCCACATCGCCATATTCAAGAACATCTCGAACGAAGTGATAAAGAACATCAATGTGCTTTATCCTCGCATGAAAAACTTGATTCTTCGCCAAATAGATAGCACTCATGCTATTATAATAAATGGTGATGGATCGCTACGAAATACCAAGTTTCTCCAAAAGTCCTGGAAGCAAAATAGGCTCCTTCACAGCCTCTGTAATTGCCATATACTCTACCTCCATCGTCAACAAAGCTACCATAAACTGTAAGGTGTATCTCCATCACACCGGTGCACGGGTCTAAGTGAACACATACCCTGTAGTAGACCGGCGCTTATCCAAATCCCCGACGTAATCCGAATCAACATAGCCAATATACAACTATCCACTTCTAGTGTCCCGTTCATAAACCAAACCAAAATTGAGGGTGCCACGAATGTATCTCAAAATCCATCTCACGGCATCCCAATAACCCACTCCTGGATCGTGCATGTATCTTGAAACCATGCTCACCGCATGTGACAAATCTGGCCTCGTACATACCATCACGTACATCAAGCTGCTAACCACGTTCGCATATGGATTCTTCGATATCGACTCTTTATTTTCAACTATCTTCGGTGAAAGGATAGCTGAAACCTTAAAATGGTCTCCCAAAGGTACACTAACTGGTTTCGTATCCATGCTAACATTAAACCTCTATAGAACCTTCTTCAAATAAGCCACATGTGTCAAACAAATTCTACCCTTCTCTTTGTTTCTGCCGATCTCCATACCCAAAATGCACTTTA